TGAAGAGAAAGAAGATGATGGATTGTCAACAAAAATGATAATGGAATAAGTATAAATGAATAATGAAATAAAAGTAGAGATATTTGCAAAAATACAAATGAGAGAATATAAAAGATGAAAGAAAAAAAAAAAGGAAATTAAAATGAGAAGAACTTGAAAGAAAAAATGGGATATTTTACCTGTGGAAAAGAATGAGAAGTGGAGAGAAAACCGAAGATGAAAAGGAGAAGGCAATAGGATGTTCTGGTTTTAGAGCCCTTATATAGTCAAGATATATTCAACAAAAATTTTGTTGATTATGTTTCAAATTTAATTAGCTGGGAGATTTAAATTTTTTGGGTTGAATGGGCAGGATTCGAGTATAATCGACAGCCTAATTTGTTGTCGATTATAAATATATAGTCACTGGTTGTCGATTATAAGCTCTATTTTATTTATTTATTTATTTATTTAAACTAATGTGCTATTTATTTAAATTGATGTCCAGTAGGTTTTAATTATTTTATTAAGAGGTTTGGTTTATCTAGTTCTCCCCTCTTTTTTTTGGGTTTTTTTTTGCTTAGTTTTTTTTATTGATTATTCTGTAAAATTTTTGGTTTTAAAGTTACAAAGAATTAATTTTTTTTAGGGCTTGCACTACTAGACATTTGATATTTTGTTATTATATATACAAAAAATATATATAATATTAATAAAAAATAATCTAATATTTGATAATGTTAAATTTTTATTATCAAATTTATAATTTATAAGATAGGTAATAATTATAAATGGTACCGATGAAAAGTTAAATGTTAACATATATATTTATAAAAATTTGAATTTATTAAATTTAATTTAAATATAGTACTAGTTAATTTACTAAATAATTTTGTGTGGTTTCATATATTTAGAGTTTGAAATTCATTCTCATCATAGATGTCTCTTCTCTTCATTTATATATACATTAATACAATTTATTTACAGAAATTAAAAAAAAAGAAGATGTTCTTACAATTAAAACATTAAAAAAATTAAAATATTCTTAATAAATCAATACGTACTAAAGAAAATTTATTAAAAATATTTAAATAATTTTATAAAAAATCAAGATATTTTAAATACTAAAACATTCTAATTTTCACTTTTCTTTTTTCTTATCTATTTATAGTAACTAGTACTATATTTAAATTTAATTTAAATATGTTAATGGTACTATATTTAAATAATTTTGTGTGGTTGCATTAGCATATGCATGCATGTATGTTTCATTCGCCTCATTTTTCATCGGAGTCTCCCCTCTATGGATACTAATACAAATATCTTTTGATTTAATACATTTTATAACATATTTATTAAAAAATTATTACTTTTTTCATCTAAAATTAAAGGTGGAAACATTTAAACCTACAATCATGCATACTGCATGGGGGAACCGACTAAACTAGCTAAATTGATATTATATTTTAATGATTTAACTTGGGAGGTGTAGACGAGTGTGTCAAACTAAAAAATATAACATTTATAAACAAACTAATAAAATTATATTATTTTGATTCATATTTGGTTTAATACGTTTTTTAATACTTATCTGAGTTATCTATTAAAATATAATATACGTACAACTTGATTTAGCCAATTCTTATATTCTATTTGTAATATATAATTGTATCTTTAAGTTTGCTTCTTTTTAATCTCATATTAAAAGGCAATAATTTTTTAATTAATATATGTTATAATATGTTAAACCGGTGTATATACTAATCAATATTCTTATCTATGTAACAACATATATAGTTTATTTATATATGATGCTTAATTACATACAAAGTGCTAGCCCCTTCCCTTACACATGCACACCATATTTTTTTCCCCTGAAAACAGGTGGCCGCTTATCTGATCATGCCTCTCCTCCTGCCGGCAATGAGTTTAGTAAGCCACCGCCAAATGCAAGTTGACTTAATAGGAGGTTCTCTGCTCGGGACTCTGAAGTTAAAGGTACGGCTTGTGAGAGTCCTTGAATGACTTCATCAACTTTACCAAAAGAACACAGAATACAGCTTGCAGCCACCTAAATAGAAACTGCAGTTTCATTATTTTGTCAAGAATAATTAGACCTTTTTCTGTCTTCCTTCTTATTAGTTACAAGTTTAGAGTTTTATCTTTTTCATCTTGCTATGTAATTTTTTTTATGGGAAATAAATTTTTATCAAATAAGCTCTAAGAGAATGTTTGGTTTGATTAAGGAGAAGAGAGAAGAGAAGCGATTTTTTTGACTAATTAAATTATATAGTGTTAATAAATATTATAATTTAATTAAAAAATAAATTTTCCCCCCTATCTATCACTCAAATCAAACATACCCTAAGGACTTGTGTATTAAAAATTTTTGACCATGTACTCTAAAATAATAAAATTTTAACCTTTATAAATATATGATAATGATTCATGCAAGTACGACGATCTCTGTACAACATGATGTGAAATCTCAAAATGACTTCCATGTCATTAGGTTTTCTTTACCTGGTGTACTAAATAGGAAAAACAATATGCTTGAGTTCTGAAATAGGAAATGTTTTACTTTGGATCTTTAATTAATTAGTTTCATGGAGGTTCAGAAAAAAAAAAAATCTTTAATTAATTTGGCAAACCAAAACAAAATTGAAAAAGAAAAAGATTGAGCCTTAGGCTCAAGCCCAGTTTGACTCAACCATAAGAACTCTATTTGGGCCTTAGAATCGGAATGAGAGCTCAGTGGGTCCGTTAATCAAAAGAGTCTTTCCTTCCTCCGAGCCGACTGGACTTCTATCATCTATCAAATCTGGTCGGCCGGCGACGAGGAAAAGGAAGGCAAATGTGCATCAGCGCCGTCCGATATTGAGAACGGTGATTTCAGGTAAACAAACAAACCCTATAAAATGTGACAATGCATGTTGCAATGAGAGGCATGTTGGTGTTCATTAGTCTGTTCAAGAATGTTGTCAAAAGATGTCAGTAGGGTTTGCTGATTATCTAAATTTTTTGTTTTTCAATTGGGGAAAAGATCATAAAGAAGCTGGAATAAAATTCATTATTTTGTTTGTGAAAAATGGGGTTTATCAAATTTGAAATTATGGGGTTAATCAATTTTTCTGTTTTGTTTTCAATTGGGGGTAATAACATGTTGGTATTTAGTATTCACTAGTCTGTAGAAGACTGTGATTTCAGCTTCTATATATGTTTTGAGATTTATTTGATACTTATTCTTGGGTTTATCAAATGGGTGTATAAAATGGTACTGTCATGATCTTTGATCATAAGCAGGATTTGTGTAATTGCTGTACTTTAGAGAATTAGGGTCCCTAGTAAGGAATTGAAAGAACTTATACTAGGATTTTAAACCAGCCACCATTGAAGATATGGGAAGAGTGTAACTTGTTAGTTTGTAGAAGAATGTTATCAAAAGATTTCAGCACTCAGCAGGGTTTGCTAAGGACGAGAAATTTTTCGTTTTTGAATTAAGGGAAGACCACATGTGGAAGCTGGAATGAAAGACCTTAGTCTAAAATATGGTTGGATGTATAACAACAATCACCAACTTTTCCCTAATTTTTGTTTGACAAAAAGCTAGCTTTTCCCTAAATTCTTTCAAGTTTGAACATTTTCGAGAAGGGTATTGCAAGAGACTAGCATGTCTTTCTTGACTTGTGTGTTTAAAGAGTAATTGAGGAAGATGATTCTGAATTCTAAATGCCTTTTCTTTTACTCATATTTTAAGACGTTAAGACTGTCAAATACCTTACTTAATAATTTGAACCTAAAATCTCTATTTTAGAAGTCCAATACTCAAGTTGTTAGGATATGTCTCAAGGGATTGTTTTTTGACTTT